GGGGGTGGGTGTGGGTCTCGGTGGGCGTGTTGGTGGGTGTGGGTGTGGATGTGGGTGTGTGCGTTGCTTTCGTTCACCCACATCCACACACCCACACCCACACCCACACCCACACCCACACTGATTTGCTTAGTGAGCATGATACTGAGTGTATGTGGATAGGTATGAGTGTGAATAGGCATCTTTTCATGAACGATCCATCAAACCTACACCCATATCCACGTCATGTAATACGAAAATTTCGGTACAAAGGCACTCTTACTTTATCAAGATTCAGTCACTTTCTATTTGCTAATGTTTCATCGATGTCTATTTAAAAATAGAAATGGGTGCGTGCTTATTTAATGCTATCTGCTTCGATTTACGATTGTGCAGAAAGAGTTTGTGAAGCAGCGATCATCAAACCCCTATCGTCGTAAAATAATAGTTGATTTCAGATGATATTGGCGTACTTTTCATTTATTTAGAAGTATGGCATCTTGGTTCATTCCTGTACATCTTCAGAAATTTTTCAGGCTGCATCTTTCTCAGTTATGAAACAAAAGTTGCATGTCTATCGAATGCGAGTCACCTTATGCATTATTTTTTAGGAGCATGGGTGTGTAAACGTGAAAAGTAGAATAAGGGTAATCAATAGACCTCCACTTGGTCTTGTGGAAATCAACACACTAATATCGGTAGTCTGACTTATTAATATGATGGTTTTTAGATGCAGGTGTGAATTAAAGGAAAGCATCAACACTGACACCAACCTTTCTGATAGATCGAAATACTACAACTGTATAAAAAGATATATTGATCGTATCGAGAAGTATATTATGCTGACGAAAAATAGCAGGAAGACGAACTGGACTTGCAAGATATTTATATTTATTCAAGCAGCCTATGTTACAAAAAAACTATCAATTAAGTTTGTTGCTTATATTTCTCAAATGAAAATTGTTCAAGAAACATATCTTTGCTAGTCATAAATTTAACAGCAATGTTTTCAAGCCAACAAACAAAGTATTCATTATGTGGCTTTGAAATATTGTGTGTTAATTCATGACAAAATACCATGAAATAAAAATTAACAACCGTATGTATAATGGCAGTTGATTGTGTACATTTTCGGAGGTATGGTTTTAGTTCGCCAGCATATACTTGTTCAAAATAACGAAGATTGAAGAAAATTGCGCCCCCATAATTAAATGCTATTTTATCTAAACAACAATATATTGAAGAAAATGAGGGTGAAAATTTGTCTATACTTACTGCTGTTGACATCTCGAAAAATATGTATTATTGTAATGGAAACCTTAAAAACATGATTAGCAAGACCTTTGAGAAGATAAGCAAGTTGATTTCCTTGATCAATCATTGTGCCCGTTACGACTATATCAGACTCGATATAGAATGGTATCGAGTGAAAGGCTTGTTTAAATCGTATCATTTTCTCAGCAGGAACTTGCTCACATACAGTACAAATCTCTGTTTTAGTGTGTTCTAATTGGATAAGTTCTTGATGATTATAAGATTGACCTTCGTAAATCTTATTCATTTCAGTTCCTTCTTTCTTCTTAACATCTCCAAAATCGGGCAAAATAATAGGCTTATGGACCTCATCAGTACGAATAGTATAATCACCACAAACACCTATGATCGGAGAAATTTCATGTTTCTGATCGGTCACCTTCTGACTATCATCAGTATGTGTAGTTGGTCTAGTTTTAACACTACCACTGGTAGTAGTATTATTATTCGTATTACCAGGCATAGAATTTGTGTCATGCTTAGATGTATTCGTATTGGTATTACTACCTATATCACCAGACATGGAATTGGTTTGATTACTAGGTGTATCTGTCGTAGGATGAACAGAGTTTTTCTTTGGTTTTCGTCGAAATGGTAAGAAACTGAAAAAAAGAGAAAAATCGATGAATTCATTCGATTCAGAGTAATCAACAATTGAAAATATTCATATTATTGATTTTCGAAAGGAATAACAGTGGAAACTCATTGTTTACAGCGCAAAGTCAATACATATGACATCATTTCAGGGAAGATATATAGAGAAAAAAAACGAAAAATTAATTTCTTTTCGATTGAAATTTTTGTGAAAATTTTAACTTGAATATTTTCAATCAAATTCATTCTATTCGAAGCCAAAGTTCAAGTTTTATCTATGACTTCGCTAGAGTATTTGCACTAACAAAAAATATGCCGAGATCAATTTAGCAAGTTATTAGTCGCGGTTCTGATCTCGTGAAAATCAAAATTTGGTCCTGAATATGATCTTGCTGGAACTAGAACTACTTTACAGACCTCTTACATAAGGTACAAACTATTGACATAGGAGTTATTTAAAAAAACGAAATACAGACTAGTAGGAACGTTAAGAAAACTATAAAACTCTAATTGAAATGAGAAAATACTTTAAAATGACAAAAAATATTAGGGATACTTTTTACGCAGTCAGAATTATTCAATGACAGACGATTTTCTCACACGAATGATAAGGCTCTAACAAAGAATTATCGACTTCATTTAATTGTTTTGAGAGAGTATCAGTGTGCTATGCATGACAAGCTCATATTTCGTTAGCATAAGAGCACTTCTAGTGAAAAGTAGAGATATATTAAACGAGATACGGACTTTTCACAGTAGAATTAGTCAATTTTTTCGTTCGTTCAATTTTGTTTTCGCATATGTTTCATTAACAAACGAAGGCAATTTGTGCATAATCAATATTTACTTAATATCATGAATTGATATAGAATATAGGTATGTCTAAAAGAATTTCTTCAATGTTATGACTTTTCCAATTTTTTTTTGAAAAAAAATACACTTACTTTTTCCCTTTTAGCATTTAGATGTGTAATCCATGTGCATATGAATATACATGCTAGTTATTTGTTCGCAACAAGTTGCATTTTAAATTTATTATATTGATATAATTTTCTTGAAAAATAATTCCTTCAAAAACGAATTCTTAGCAAAAAGATGCTCAACTCAAACCGTGGAAATTCAAGCTCTTTTGAAAATAGAGCCCGTCAAAAGGCAGCACTAATTTGAATTAAAGCAAGACAAACATAAATCCCTCTGTGATTACGGAAAAAATTGAAAAGATAGAGTGATTCTAAATGAATCATTTAACGCTCTATCCAATGAACTTGACTTTAAGAACATTTGAGTTAATCAAGCTTTATTACAATATAAACACTGATTAGAAATCTAATCAAATTTATTTTTCTAATCCATATATCAAGATGTCTCTAGGAATGTAACAGAAAAACTAATAGTGAAGCTAGTAACCATGTGAAAAATATGCGGTGATAAGTAATGTATTAGTATCACTGGCTTCTTGTAACAAAATGCAGTCTGTCTAATGAAAAAAAAACAGGTGATCAACGTGAGGTCATCATGAGGTCACCACTCGTAGCAGTGATGCTTGAAAGTGTATCGTCAGAGCTCTCCGTATTACTAGGCGTTATTGCTCAAGAAATTGAAGTTTATACATATGAAAGAAAAGGATGGATTTCTCTACTCTTTTTATTCAGGATTTCTGCAGTTTCCTTTTGATTTCGCACATCAAAAAATCAATTTTTTCTTCAGTAATTCACTGTTTTTCAGAATTGAAAATACTTTACTTTTAATAACTGCTTTTATAACTAAATAATCTGGTATTCCGTAACACTTAATTGTTAAATTATTTTCTTTAATTTCAGAGAAAATTTTCAGAAAACACTTTGTTTTAGAAATAAATTTTAGCAGAAAGTTAATTCATAATAAAAGTTTATCATTTTCTTTATTTCAAGGAAAGAAGTTAGATGTTATCGACATCTTGACTTGTACTTTTCGTGATTAAAAGTTCAACATAGAGTTCAATGGTTTAAGTTCAATGGCGAGAAAAAAACTCATTTTATCTGAACTCTGATTGAAAAGAGTAAGAAGTAAATCAATTTTTAAATAGAAAAAATAAACATTATGAATAGAGTTTTTTCGAGTGTTTATATCGATACGACTATGTTCTACATAATGATATTTAATGCTATTAGAGATGTGCATGGGACCAAAAAACAATTTATAGTTTCAGTCAAAGATTTCCCTACTGTTGCATTAAGTTCGCTTTTAAACTGCTAGCTGGCGGTGCATTTTTATTCAAAATGCATCGCCAAGCAACATTTTAAAAGCGAGCTTAATACAACAGCAGGTAAATCTTTCACTGAAACCACAAATTTTTTTTTTGGTCCCGTGCACATCTCTACGTGCTTTACCAAGTTTGATTGTGTTGTTCATTGAAAATCATAAAAATAAAATATAGATACTAAATTGGAAAATAGTTATATGAATTCTATCAAGGTGTTGGATTTTCAGACAAATGTGCTTAATTTAGAAACCGTAACGATCCGTATTTCAAGATATGACTGAAAAACTAGACTTTGTTTTGAAGTTATAAAGTACATAGTGATTTTCATCTTTGTGATTTCTAAGTTTCATGTTAGATGACACCATTGTCTGGTTATTTGGGACGTCTCAAAATATTCAATGCATTGATTTTTAAGGTATACTCTACATTTGTCGATTCTTATATTTACGCTGCTTATTCTGTTGAAGAAAACACTACTGATGTAGGAACGGCACCGATTCTTGAATTGCTTTTGATTCAGAACGATGTGCATCATATAGAGCCTAATGAGATATGAATAATCTAAGAAGAGTTCGGGCGGTGAGCCTATTACTATCTGGATACTAAATTTTTTTACAGTACTGTCGTAGTGCAATATCGTGGTCTCATTCATGAGCAAAAGAAAAATGAAGTTTCCAATTTCGAGTAAAAGTTTTATTCAGAAATAGGCCTTAATGAGAATAATTTGTTATGAGAGTTGCAGATCTTTGGACTGTTCCTATTCTAAGATACGACTATCATACACGCATGATCTATACATAGCTTATATGTACAGAGAGATTCAGGTACTCATATTTAAGAACAGGAACAGGCGAAAGATCTTCAACTTTCATATACAAATTATTCTCATTGAGACCCAATTTCTGAGCAGATTTCCAAATCGAAATTTGAATTTTAGTTTTTCCGTTGTTCATGAGTAGGACCATGATATTGTATCACAACAGTACTGTAAAAATGCAGTATCTCGATAGCAATAAGCTAGCCACCAGAACTCTTTTTGGGTTATTCATATTTCACTAGATTCTACATGAGACACATGGTTCGGAATCAAACGTAATTGAACAGTGGGCACCCTTCTCTCATGAGTGAAAATTCGACGCGAGCTTGTTGTAACCCTTTCCTAGGTTCTAGCCAGTGGAACGAAAACGTGGAGATTATTAGATACGTTTCTATTAGTAATATGGAAATAAAGTGTAACTAATAGCAATACTTAGTGTACTCTGTAAATTCTTATATCGTGAGTATTCTAAATATTGATCATTTTAGTTTCTAACCTAGCGATGTAATCTTTTTATTGGCCTCAATCAGTAAGACGATGTTCATCTTGATCTAGCAGAGTTAAAATATGTTGGACATAAAAAAGTATCTACTAGAGTTCGTCGAGAGTAAGTTTATTACACTAGGAAACTTCGTGAATAATTAAATTAATAAGTAAACCCGATCATCATAATAGATGAAATGTCCAAATTAAGTTTAAATTAATAGGCGATATTTTCTATACTATGTGCATTTATTTATCATTGGAAGAAAATAAGTGATGCATTGAAGATGTAACTAACAATAAACACCTTCCTTTTGACAGAATAATCATATTAAATAAATCAAAAAAATCCGTAAAGTGGTAACTCTAAGCATATATAATTTCGAAACGTGAAAATTTTAAAGTGCACGTACCAACAACAAAAAATGGTTATGATTTCCATTTATTCGTTTGCTTGACATGTTTTTGAAAATATACGACAAATAAGTAACAATCAGAATTTGGAAGTTCTACATTATCAATCTTTTAAAGAGTTCTACTAGCAAACAGCTTATAAACCGTCAAAATCGATAGGGATCACAGCTTTAGAAGAACTTTGAAACAATTTGAAGAACTTAAATTTCGTGTACTGAGCACCTTATTAGATAACAATGGAAAATCTTTCTCACATATGTTGAATGCTGACCTTAATAAGTTGTCAAGAAAACTACGTTTCTCTTCCTCTTGTGACACCATTGGACCTTCTAAAATCAAACTCAAATATATATTGATGTATGTTTCTCATTAAAACAGTCCATTCAATTAACTAACCTGTCGATTTTGAATATGAAAGTAAACGATGAACAGGAATTCCTTGTCGTTCAAGTGTTTCTATGGATGATGAGAGTTTGTTGCTGAGTTCATAAAGGTAATTAATGGGTTGTGTGAAAACAAATGCAAGAAGTTGATTTGCAATATCGTGATAATCCAGTGAGAGTATATCTTTTCGAAGATATAACGTAACTTTGTTTTTTTCATATACGAGTACACATGAACCAGCTACTGTCGACTGTAATTCAAATTATGATTAAAAGACTGCAAAAAAGAAAATATTGTATTTTCATTCTCACATCAAGTAGAGCAGTTTTTCCTTTAAAGTTCAATTGACACTTTATATTATCGACTTCATTGACAGAAAGTGTTGTACGTAATAGCTCCAGATATGCTTCGTTACGATGAGGAAGACTTTCGCCCTAAGAAAATATTTCTTGAAGCATTGTTCATCTTAAATCCTACGATAAAACTCACTCTATTATTGACAAACAACATTGGTAATCGATTTTGAATCAGATCTTGTAGCTCGGATGCGCGTGAGGAATTAAATGGTTTGCCTTGAACATGCAAAAATATAAATAATGTTCAATACATAAAGAAATGTGATTGTGTTCTTACTAGATTCAAGGAATCAGAAGGAAGTGTGAACACTACAAATGAAATCTACTAGTAAGGAAAACATTTTCTTTAAAGAAGGCTTCCCAAGAGAAAATATCGAGATCTATTTATATAAAAACAAATACGATATCAATGAGAGACAGAAATTTTGTGAAATATGATCGATAAAAAATTGATTACGTATAAAATACGAGAAAAACAAAACATTCTTGATCATCTCACAGACCTAGCAATATATATTACTTCTTGACGGTTTTCAGAAGTTATGATTAGTGTGCAGAAAATCTATATGAATAATGAAAGCGACTTCATTATCTTACAAATTTCAATTCCGAAAGGACTGCATTGAAAATCATGTTGTACAAACTCATAAGATTACCATGAATACTAATGAATAAATTGCAAGAGAATCATCAGTCGTGACAACTCGCATTTTTAAAGAGACCTCTCTCATTAGATAAGATCTCTGGAATACAGAAACCAGCCTAGATTAATTTCTCCCCATGTACTATTCTTCTGAGGTTATAACCATGTCACTGCATTCTTGACTTCTTCCATCATATTTGTAACAAAAAACGGGTTTTGATCTAAGACTTTGCTGATAAACAGCGATTCACTTTACTAGAATATTCTAAAAGCTTAAGCCCAAAATGACGATTCTTTCTTGACATTTAAAATCGACAAAAATAATCTTGAATACTTGATCATTTGTGAAACTTACATATATTGCCGAAAAACACAATAAATGTAAGTTTTAAGATGAATTTTTGCGACCCACTTTCCTCACTCCCCCTGCCTTCGCATTACAAATAGAAGCACCTACTAATTGATAATTTTACTGAGCATTTTAGCTTCAAACTAGCTGCTCTAACTGTTTTTTTATGAAATATAAAGTTTTCTTTTTCTTTTGGATATTGGATGGTTCAAGAAGGAATCATTATTTTTGGTTTAAACTTGTAAGATTATCTGATAAACTTAAGAACTGCTTATGGGAATATCTTCGATTTGTGATATAATAACAGTGCTAATAGTTAAAGCTATAGTGAAATGGCTATAACTCTAGAAGGATAGAGAATAAGGAAGAATTATTGTATGTTTTTTTCTAATTTTAACACAACCTGTCTTGTGAGAAAGGATCTATAAAAAACGAAAGGTGTCATCTTCGATGGTTTCCTTGATAGTTATTATTATTACAAGAGATTCAATAGAAGCAGTGAAATTGTTGATGGCAACTAATTGTACCTATTATTTTCCGATTTTCATCCACACAACTTGATAGCCATTTGGCTCCGAATCGTTCATATAGTGTGGATAGTTGTGGGTCTGATGGTGGTAATACTGGTTTAAATTTCATCGAATATAAAGAGTTATCATCGAGATATATTTCATTTGGTTTGACAATTTTTAATATTTGTTTGCTGCAACGATTTTCATCATCAACATCTTGAAAACCAAGACACCAGGCACTAGTTTTCAGTCGTGTATTTAGAGGTTCAGATTGAAGTTCATTTGAGCAAGCAGCAGCAACAGCAAGACGTTTGAGACATTCAATATACAAACGAATTTTTTTATTCAAAATAAATTCATCATTCTTTGCACTTTCAAAATAAGTAGCTTGCCGATCGATGAGAACTTCGGCAAGAATCGAAGGTGTCGGATAATTACGAACGCCAATATTGACAAGAAATGTATTCGCGTCTGTACCAAAATCAACATAATCAATAAGACCACTTGTGTCCATTACTTCGATTGTGTTCCCAATCGATCGATTAGACGCAACACTCCCATGAATAAAAACTTGTGATGGTTTCATTAGTGGGCTACTGTCTGAAATACCTAAATGAGCATATTTGAAGTATACTATCCTTCAAAATATTAACTAACCTTGTAATGGAATGAACTCTAGTTTGGATACTTTTTCGATGAACATTCGATTTAATCCTTCAAGCCCATTCAAATAGGCAAATATCCTAAATGCTGATTGTTCCGTTAACAGTTGCTTCTTTTCTTTTATCAAAATGTCAAATGCTTGTGAAAGATTAGGTTTGCTTTCGATGCCAAGCAATGAAATATCAAAGTTCTTCTCGAATAATTCGATCACTTGAGGTAAAAGACTAGGACATAATGGATTAGCAATTTTGAACACTTCGTCTGGTGCTGAGAGTATCACCTCACTTCGAGTTTTCTGATCCATTGTCTTTACTGGTAAACATGCTGGAAGAAAACGACGTTTAGTCATATTATTCTTTTTCCATAAATTGCAATAATATTGTTGAAATTTTGCAGCAAAAAACTCGAGCGCTAGTGGTATTTTATATTCTGCATTCGTTGTTTGTTTTTGCTGCTGATCATTATGTTCTTCAATGATACGTTCGATAAGTTTTTGTAAATTGGGTACTTCTTGTACGCCAATTTCTTTAAGAAAGTTATATTCCAATGAGTCTGGATTAATATCGAGCCAATCAATGATAGGTAAGTTGATCCATTGAAGCCGAATAGCTACAGATGGAAAATGAAGATCCCGAGGAATATATGTTCTTGTTGTTTCAACAGTTCGTGCTAATGTTATGCCTAAATATACAAGAATAAAAATAATCATATCATGCCAAGGCCTGAATCAGTTAATATATATATATATATATATAAATATGCGAGCTTTTTGACTATTTGATAATGTGTTACACTCTTCTCATGAGATTCTAGTATCGATTTTGATCACATTCGAAATGAAGGATACATTAAAAAGCTCATGTTACACATCTTATATATATATATATATCATGAGTGGTGTAGATGTATTGTAACATGTCCCAAGATATCGAATTACGATCTGCAGTATGACTTGAAGTATCGGAATGTAGATGAAATACAAGAATATGTTTTCTTCATCGAAGCGCCTGCCACTTTGTTAATGTGATTTTCATTAGTGTCGACCTTTACTGAGCGAAGCGTTCCAATGACTACAGAGTGTTCTGCTCTAAGAGTCTTAATCTTGCGGGAAACTTTTAAACTACGCACAATAAACAAAAAAATGAGTAGCAGTAATTCATCCCATTATTGTAACTGTCGCTCTAACAGTTTGTTTAAATGTGTTTTCTATGTATAGTTGATTATGTGCACTTGCCTAGCCACCCTTAACAATAAGATTCTGAAGAAATGAAATTTCACTGGTTGAGAATTCGCAGTCAGAAAACAAAAAAAGCGCAGTTGCTTTCTTATAATCGTTTCCACAAGCATGTAGAAAAAGAAATTTGTATAGGGCTAAGAGACTTAAGAAGATTGTCAAAAATTGGTAATTTGCAAATTTAAAGTTCAACTTAAAATGTAATAGATGAATTTAACACAGTATACTAGTATTGAATTTTCCATTGAATATTCTTTTTCTAGTATGTTGACCATCTAAACGTACAACAAGTAAAACTCTTAAAGAGAAATGACTTGTTCCATTAACGTCAAAAAAGGACATTAGGAAATTAGACTATTAATAGACACAGGATCTAATATGTTGGGTTTTTACTACTGAGACAAAACCATTTTAATAACGAATTGTAGAAAAAAATTATAGTAGAGCGATAGATACCATACGAATGAACTGGAGTTTTGTTTTATGATAAGCGTAAACTAACACATGTACAACGACTGAAAACTTTTTGAGTTGTTTATTGAACAATGGCAACGTTTAATTCTATTATGATATCAATGGTGAAGCCAGAATTTTAGACCAGGGGGGACTCAGTCCCTTCTCGCCCCTCCCTGGTTCCACCATTACATGGTATTTTTCGCGATAATTACTGCCATCCAACTGGTTAACTTTATTTCCACAGTAAACCGAATCTCAATTGGTAGTTCATCTGAGAAAATTGCTATCTAGAACATAACTTTTTTGCTTTTTTTTTGTTTATCTGATACAGAAGATGATATTTTAGACATATAAAAATGTGAAATGAAAAAGTAATCGTAAAAATACAGAATGATTTCAGTGAAAGTTCTCTTATGATCTAGAGAAAATATTGCATTATTCATTAGTAATCTTTTTTCACTCTAGTATTTAACATGATCCCATCTTATGAAAGAATAAAAAGTTTGAATAAATCCTCAAAGCCTATATAATGCAGTAAAAATCTAACATAATATAACGGTATAACAACAGTTAATTATAACTAGGTCTTTTTTTAAAGCAATGGTCTTTGTAGATTTTCTTGTCCCTTTTTGTACACTATGGTTATTGTTCTAAGATTGATATTTGATTTCAATCCGAAGTCGAGCTACAATTAAACTCATCACTAAAATCGCTTTAATCCTGATAGAACTTCGATCTATGTCTTAAAAGTCAATTTTATCGCTTCATTGTCCACTATCCTTCAGATAATAATCCGATACTCTACATAAACTTCAAAAGTTTAAAAATAGTATTGATATACACATTGGCAGATAACAGACTTTCGATCTTATTCATATTTTGAAAGCTCTAGAGTAAATCTGAAATATGAGATTACAGTCTGAAGTAATGGCATGCGGCTTTATCTTTACTATACACAGAGATTTTGATTCACCCCATGCTATTTTCTTCTAAAAGTTAATTTTAAATATGTATTCATCTCTGGCTACTTTCTACCTCCTAAAAATAAGCAAACATAAATTTTACGCTGCTCTTAAAGACTTTGATGAGACTTTGAACTCTTTTTCTTCAGCAAGGATAGCAGTCGCGACAAAAGATTTTTTAGATTTGCTATACAATGGAATGGTACTGATCTAGTCGAAAGCAAAAACTGCGAAAAAAAGAATAATGACAAACAAAATAGCGAATGCAATAATGTCGAAGAAAAAAAAACTAGCAAATCATCATAATTACCACACGCATTTTTGGGGAAACAAAAACTAATGATCATATGAAATCATTGAAAAAAGTTTATTTTGAGATTTTCAATCAGTGAGATAAAGATATTTTATTGAATAGAAAAACGTGAGAGATTTACAAGTACGAGGGGTGAAGGAAAAAATGTAGAGAGATTCACCTCCGACCTCTCCTATGAATCTTTGAGATTTGTGAAAGATTTCTTATTTCCACTAACAATGGAGGTGTTTGTGTTGTAAGTTAAATCGACTAGACATATTCGGGTCAAATGAAATCTCTCACCTCCAAACTAACAAGGTTAAAATACTAGCGGCCCTTGGCTTGCCTAGAGGGAGATATTTAACTTTAAAATTTAAGTATAATAATGAATCAGGAAAGGTTTTCTCCGCTATTATAAGGATAAAACATAGTGTTATTCGGGCCGATCATGGGGTTTGTAGGGACCCTCTTTCATATGGACCGAACAACACCATGTTTTGTCCTTATAATAGTAGAGTAAATTTTTCCAGTGCCTGATAGAAAACGCTGTTTCTATGATCTACAGAAAAAATTGACTCTACTATTATAAGGACGAAACATAGAGTTGTTCGCGGCAATCTTGGGGTTATCAAGGATGGTCTTTGATATGGCTGGAAGAACCTTATGTTCCGTCCTTATAATAGTAGAGTAAATTTTTTCTGTAGATCATAGAAACAGCGTTTTCTATCAGGCACTGGAAAAATTTACTCTACTATTATAAGAACAAAACATGGTGCTGTTCGAGCCATATGAAAGAGGATCCCTACAAACCCCATAATCGACCCGAACAACACTATGCTTTATCCTTATAATAGCGGAGAAAACCTTTCCTGATTCATTATTATACTTAAATTTTAAAGTTAAATATCTCCCTCTAGGCAAGTCAAGGGCCGCTAATATTTTAACCTTGTTAGTTTGGAGGTGAAAGCTTTCATTTGACCCGAATATGTCTAGTCGATTTAACTTACAACACAAACACCTCCATTGTAAGAAAACTCAACGATCTATAGGTGGACTGAGTCCAACATAGTCAGATATTCTACTCTTTACACTGATAGGTACATCAAGATCATATATACAGAATAGTGATTGGATCGAATGAACTGTAGTTTACTCTTGATTAATGGTATCTGAAAAATTTTCGATATTTTTTAAGGCTTTACATAGTATTTCTTCGTCATTTTTATGCGATCAACATTTTGTTTTTCGTAGTTCTTTTCTTCACAGTATTTTCTTTAGGGCAAATCGATACATACTGTTACTATGACTTCAATATAACTCATTATTTCAATCGCTTAAGGAGTTTTCCAAAGACTTTCAAAATATTAATTCAATTCATCAATCAAAAATTATTAAAATATTATTAGGAGGAAGATATCAAAAAAGCTCAGTTATTATTATTGACTATTTTGTGAATTTGAAATAACATTTACAGCTCTTTCTCATATAATTTAAAAACTTCTGTTTTTTTGTGAACTTTTGTTGTAAAAATGACTTGTCAATATTTTTGTTGAACTCACCTCTCAACGATTTCTTTTGTTTTAATTCATTGAAATCAGTTTCACTCATATTCTTTCGTTCTTTAATTAACTTTTGAATGAATATTTCCATAGATTGAGACTGCATTGAAACATCTTGATCATTATCGAATATATCAATACTCAGCATACGGCAACCGATTCGTTTAAGAAAATAAATAGAAACTGGATTCTCAATATTTTCATTTAAATGTTCATCATTATTGTCTGGATTAGCTTGTGGTATATTAAGTACAATAACAGGCAGTTTAGGTGAAACTAATGCGGATGGAACGAATGATTCACATGACATTTTCATACCTTTTGTTGTCGGTATACATGGAACTGTGTATAACACTGTTTTCATGGTAGTCCATTCTGTTTCTGTGAATTGTCCAGAATATCTTGAAAGAAAGCTGAGTAATTGTGGAGATATTTCAGGATCTTGAAACATAGATAACTGATGATTATGAAAATAAAAATCGAATAAATCTTTGAATTTCACAGGCGATAATGATAATTGTCTTTCAAGCTGTTCTATTGATAAGAGAGCGGATATATCTCTTGATAAAACATTAGTAGGTAGAGACAATAATAATGGAATCTTCAAAGCATCATAATACTTGATAATACGAAATAGGTAGCCGCGTGAATCAGAAGGATTATGAAAACAAACAATCGAAAGGATACGTTTAGCATATACCTCATCCGCAACATCATTGCTAAATAACCAATTGACTAAAGCAATAAATTGAGGTATGGACAAAACAGATGCCATGAGAATTTTCTCAACCATAGATTTGTCTGCATAATCCAATAATCCACGTATTGCAAGAGTTATAAAGAGACCATTTGAAGTCAATTGAAATGGAATGAGTGGAAGTGTCAAGAATGTCTGGATTTGATTCGAGTTAGCCAGAAAAGCTTTCGATGAATGCACAAGAGTGAGATAATCATCAGATGGCTTATTTTGCACAGGTACAACAATGTCTTTGTTCGAGCAGAAGAAACCTTGGATAATTGTCTCACCTGTCGAATGAGAACAAGAAAATAAAACTGTAATCCATGAAAAAAAGATGTCATGTAGGACACAAGAAAGAGTCTCATTACTATGAATTCTTCAATTTGAAAACACTATAATCCGATTAGATGTGTCTGATGTGTGAAGTGCAGCTTTTGAAAATATTTTATCTTTCCATGAACTCTGATGAGAGCTTACACCAACGAACAGCTTTGATCTTATTGTTCGAATGGTTTTTGTTTTGAAGAATTTTCAAGAGAACGTGACCTCAGTACTATCATGCTTATCAACGCTTCACATGTGTTACTGTCTATATTATGGATACTACGGCAACTCTTCACCGTTCATCTTTAGTTATGATGTGGTCAGTGGTGCGATGGATTGCAGATCAGCGTTCGACATGGGTCTCATTTCTGTGATCCAACTGGATCCTAGTGTAATTTCGGTATGGATTTGGTGTTCATTCTTTCATTTCGTAGCTGAACATGAAGAATATATTCTTGACCTATTTTGGACTTCGGCAATCCACTGAGATTCTACAGTTGGTATAATGTGTTTATTCAATAGTATTTTTTCTTGCTTAGATTCCTTTAATTTTTTTTAAAGTTTAAGACCTATCTACCAGAATTGAGCCATGGCACCACTCTATATGTCCTGTTGTCCGATGTTAATAAAGAAATGTTTGTAAAGAAGAAGAAAAGAGTTTGTGAAGCATAACTTCATATTTTGAAATGTCAGTACTATTTGCCAAAAGTTCCCATAACAGATCTAATCTAATCTGAGCCAGACATTGACATAGATACGGTGAATCGGTCTACTATTTTGAAGAACAGTGTCTATTGCACTATCACTGATCTTTCAAAGATCAAGCCCAAATCGACTCATGAACATCTCTATAAAAGCATAAAACACTAGACCTATGATGGAGTCGGTGATTTATTATGAATTTAAGATGCTGTTCAGTATTTTGTCTAATTTAGACGACATACGTAATGTAAAAACAAACGATCAAGTAATAACGTACGAAAAGCTTTGTTTTGTAGACATTGCCATTAAAACTTCGAATAATTGAATTGTAATTGAAATTGAGTAGTATGTATCATTTAGAATGAATACATACTTGTTTTTCTCATGTTATTTGTAAATGAAACTTGTAAAATTCGATGTTATGTTACAAAGTTCAGAAATAGTCATTTTTATGCTTATAAATTTTTTACAACTTGAAGATTATGAATAGAACGATGGAGTTTACTGTGAAGTGGATAAATATTAGGAAAACAAGATAATAGCAGATATTATAGCATCGTTTCCTTCTTTCAGAATTAAAACATCTAATTAATTAACAAAAAACAAGCAGTCATCATTATAGATAGCTTTTACATATACACAGATATTTCACTGCTCTTATCAAAGAAACTGTGAATTGTACGACTGTACTACAGACTATCTAGATTGGTACACCGTACTCTGTTAAAACATGAGTAGAATAATAAACCCTTTAAGAATTTATTAATCTACGTCTTTTTTACAGGGTATCTACAGTATACTGTTAGTTTGTCATCATTGCTGTAACCTGTATGAACAAAGTAAAGTGTCGACAATACCTACTCGAATAGCATTTCAATATTGTTCTATGACAATGCACTTTGTCTACATTCTCTTCGATTAGACTATTAAAAGCGGCAAAAGAAAAGAAGAACTATACCGATTTCATTGTTTGGTACTGATGGTTGAAAAGAATATGAACTCAAGATGATATCATAATTGTCGACAGTTAGCTGTGTTTTATCAGCATTTATAATCATTTCTTGGTCGTAGATTAATCGAATGATTTGCCCGATAGATGAAAGAAGTTCCTTATTCCATTTAGCTATATATGGATCTTGTAAATCGACATTTTCACGTTCGATTGTCGGAATCAAATGACTATGCACATGCATTCCAATGCCTGATGTCTGATGTGTTCCAAGACCAATGAATACCAGACCTGACGGAATGATATTCTCATCTTGAAACTTCAATGGAATCAACGAATTCAAAATTCTAGTGTTTAAATCACTAAAGACTGATGATGATTGTGACTGTTGACTGGCAATAAGCTAAAAAGAGAAAAGAACACTTATATAAAAAAGAAAAGAAACACGTATTTACATTATCTGGTGCAAACAAGAGTTGAATTCGAACATTGGATGGTAAACTTTTTTTCATTATACGTTGAATTTGGTAATGAAATTCTTCATCAATGGTGACTTGTGCATCGACAGATACATGATTTAAAGTCAATGAAGAAGCATTGGCAATAGAAAATGTTTGTTCAGTTTGTATAAATGAATTAAAAATTAACATATTACTCATCGAAGGTGTGTTTTTGAATGGTAATGTGCTTCGAATAGATGGTACTATTTTCATAGTTTTGCTGACTTGAAATATCGTACAACCATTTATCTTGATAAGAATTTCATTAATATATTTTGTAAATGAAAGTACTATTCAAAGGAAAATGATATCGAAAGAATGAATTGATTCTGCTTTTTACCTTTGGTGAAATAGGTTTTGAGTTGAGTTAGATCGATTGCTGGTACGATTTCTTTCATAGTTACGTTTTCCTTCCGTTTTTTCTTGACTGATTTGATATTATATTCACCATCTTTATTTTTCATTGTTGTTACATCAATATCTAAATTTGTCTCGGTTTTTAAGATATATTGACTTCGCATTTTGAGAATAACCGCAGTTAATTTTGATTGCTGTTCGATAGGTAATTGATGGCGAAATGTTGTCAATGAATTATCATCTCGCCAGACAAATACCATATATTCGTTTCCAGATGTGATTATTGGTTCTTCAGAAAGTGAAAAAACAGAAAAAAATCCAACACCAAATTGTCCAACTGAATCAACGTTGGTATTGCCTTCAGCAATGGATGCTACCCGTTCCCAATCAGTCTGATTAAAGATGGTACCATTATTTGCTAAACGAATTTCAGTTATGGTACTATTGTGATAATTCAGTCCGCTGTTTGACAGTGGCAGCGATTCATTTAAAGGTGATGATTTGTCTAAGTGGGCAGTAATGTCTGTTTTGGCTTAGAAAAGCGAAAAAATGTATGTCCTCATGTCGTACTATCAGTGTTTAATTACTCACCTGAGAATGATTGAACTTCTGAGGCAATCATCGGTATAACACATGTTATTTCAAAATGAAAGAATGTCGCTTGAGCATCGTCTGCATTTTGAATGAGTTCACGGCAGACAACGAAATCAGATGAATAACGCGCAAGCATTTTATCGATTAACATTCTTTGATTGACTTTAACCGCTTGTTCAACACCACACTCCTGTGCCTTTTTATGAAGAGCATCTGATGCTATTGGCGTCTGCATATGAATTGACATGATTAATGTGCTCTTTTTGTTACAGTATCTGAAAGAAATATATGCATGACTAGTCTCTTTTCGTTAGAAGGATAACATTTAGAATAGTGAAGTATCTTTCTTCTTGATTTTGTCTGTATATTTTCTTCTAATAGCTTATTTCCCCAATTTTGTCAACGATCGTCAGTACATCTGGACTAAAAGTCGACATCTACAAAACAAGAGCAAGCGTCCAGAAAAATCCTTATGGGATTTAAAGGTGAGGTACGATATAACTATTGGAACTATAATGTGAAAACTTCGTCATGTCTATCATAGACCTTCACTTGGCGATGGTATAGTTGAATGTGGCTCTTATCCACAGCAACAGCCACACAGACACCCTTTCCTAAAGAAAAGAATGATGGTACTACTACTGAAAAACACTACTGTTCAAGTAGGATAATTTTCTAAAAAGCCCACTACTGTAAAAAATAGGATTGTTCTACAGTAAAGCATTGATCGAAAAAATGGGTAGAATTCAACTTCAGTTTTTAATCAAATTACAGAAATTTCGGTTCAAGAAATGTTTGGTCCGTGCATGAATTGACCTCATTGGTCTCTAAGGTAAACAAAACCAAAGTAATTTTAATCAGTTGCTGATTATCGTGTTAATGGGCAGGTCAACATAGTACTTGGCAATATGGTGTAGCACTCTAGGAAATAAATTTAGATTGTACTATACCTATGCCATTGTGCTCATTAACTTGAATTCGAATTCCGTGTTAGTGAGCCAAAACTACGATATGAACTTGGTACTTGACATTTCTGTTAGGGTCATCAGTGGGAGTAGCACTTCACTTTCTTTTTACTTTCAGCAAGAAAACGAAAGTTAGGAAAGTAACAACTATCCTTTCCTAAAACAAAAGAAAACAAAAACTTTTTCTGTCTGTTCTAAAAGTTAAAAGAACGTGAAAGTGTTACCTTTAGCCACTACTAGAGAGGATGTAAGATCAACTGAATACAACAAAATAAAGTAAAAAACAGTCTTAGGTGCGAGAAATACGATGAGCAAGACGTAAGTCAAAAATCAATCACAAAACAATTATAAATTTCAATCATATGTGTTTTTACAGCCTCACTTCATAAACAGAGAATGTGTATAGGGACGGTTTTCCAATTTTTCATTCGTCTCATTGCAGAGCTTGTCTTTCCTTTCTCTTCGGAAAGGAAAATAGGGACAGCAAAAACAACTTTCCTTTCCTGTCGGCAAAGAAAGTGAAAGTGTCACCTCTAGTCATGGGTTGTTCAATTAATGCTTTGATTGAGGATGTGAGTGTTGATCTGCACAAATGATAAAAATTCATATCCACAATCAACACCACTTACACACTCCTTGTCATTCTGCTTAGCGCTACGATATCCAGTAGCCAATGTAAAAAATCTGATTTTGTTTATTTTAGAAGCCAATGAGATGAATTCTATTACTGGTCGAAAATTGCTTGTTAGGATCTTGAATGAATCCATACGAGAATCTC